ATTAGTTCTGATCTATATAGTAGCTGACTTTTGAAACGTTCTTAATAATAAATTTCTTCTTTGAACAATTTCTTTGTTTTAACAGTTTTCATTTTTGCCTTTTTATGTAACATCTTCAAAACTTCTGGGATGACTTGGGTTGTAGTACCACGTTCCAGAACCTGATTTATGTAGACCAGAGTATGTTTCTTCAGTTAGCGAAGTGTACATAATACAACAAAACAATAATAAAATCAAACCTATATAAAATAATTATACATAATACAATAAAACGATAATAAAATTATACATGTAATAGAATTATACACAATACAATAAAACGATAATAAAATTATACATAGTACAACAAAACAGTAATAAAATCAAACCTATATAAAAGAATTATACATAATACAATAAAACGATAATAAAATCAAACATAAAATATAATTATACATAATACAATAAAACGATAATAAAATCAAACATAAAATATAATTATACATAATACAATAAAACGATAATAAAAACAAACATATAATACTAAGAATTAGAAAAGAGAACAAGTTATTCAACACTCGTACATGTTACTGTGTTTATCAGTTCTTTCGGAAAACTCAAACTAAAAAAGACTTAAATTTTTCTACAATTCAGAGATAAGAGGCGGTCACGTGCTCTCCGCTTCCTGTCTTTGGTGATTTGCCTAATTGTTCAGCCACACAAGAGAAAAACAAACATACAGAGCTCTTTCTAACCAAAGAAATTAACGAATCAGCTGCAACAAAAGTGCTGGATAATTTTTGCATGAGTTATATTTAGTTATACGCGTCATTAACACGGGGGGGGGGGATTGTCCCCCTCACATTTTAACAGCATTAGTTTATTGACTGACAATAAATTTGAGTGCAAATGTACAGGTGGTGAAAGAGTCACGCTTTCTACAGCTTTGACAGTTGGAATAGGTGTATAAACACACAAGTGGGAGACATGTATGAAGACAGACGACTATAGATGGCGCTTTAAGCGTATGTGCTTATCACGTGATGCCATTGGGAATTGCACTTAACCCTTTCCTCGTTTTAGTTCATCTAATGTTTTGTTCATAATCCATAAAGCTTGTTTTGTTTTATAAACATTATTCGTTTATTAGAAAATTAGTGTAATGGGTAATGAAAATATAGTGATTATAATAAATAAAAAAATGTTTGTATTTATCCTACGTTCTCATTTTCTCTTGTGAGAAAGTAACTGGTCATCATTTTACATGCGCTTTGAGCATCACGTGTAATGCTCGTATGAAGCTCTCTTCTGATATCATACGTTAAACCAAAACAACTAGTTCTTATTGCCACGAGCATCAACTACATGTCAAATTAATGTAGTTGTGTGTCATATGTGATACTCAGGAGCTTTATCATTATGTCCTGTGAATCATGTGATACACAGGACAGAGATAAGGTTAACAACTTTATTCACTCACTCATTGATCAGTAGGGTTACCGAACGTTAACTCTTCAGCAAGACAACATATTCAACATTATGTGATGCCTATCACAGAAGATATGCTTCATGCTGTTGTCTGTCATGTCCTACCTCGTCTGAAGTGTGTGGTTCAGGTGGATAGAGGGCGTATTGAACATTTGACAGGACTCACATTAAGAAGAAATAAAGTTTATTGTGTTTCAGTGTTACCTGGTAACTAACTGTGTTATACAACCACTGGTAAATCTGTAGGTTGTATGTTCTCCCATCACCCATAAGTTTATATCCAAACTTATTCTATTGAAGCTCCGTAACATCAGTCTCGCCCCAGATGTAGGAACGAATCCTCCCTCCGCCCCCCTTACTTTTGAAATCAGAGCCATGCCCCAGTCATGTGCCTGTAAGGATGAGGAAAACTCGTATATAAGTATGTATTTGATTTTTTGTATTGTCATTAGATCAAACCTGGTTGAAAGAAGTCTAATCTATATCGGCGAATTTATTCAGGAATGTGATAATGAAATGGGATTTTAATCATCGTGAAACAGTGGCGATATTATTAGAAGAGCTCAATAGATCTGAAGCCTGGCCGGTAGGTAAGCTAGCTTATAGCAAGCTGACAAAAGCTTATGATAAGAGCCACCTAAAACAGAACAAGGATTTGTACAACTTGTCACTGGTCGATATTGTGAAAGTTGTTTTTGTTTTTTGATGAAACACATTAAATTTTTGTGTGTTTGAAATGGGTATGAACGAATTTAAAATACTGTATCAATTAGAATAAATGCAAATTATTCTTAGGCTGAATGCTGCGAGGTTTTTATTGTCTTTTTCTCTCTCTCTCTCTTTTTGAGAACCGTTAATAGAATTCTTATTAAAAAGATTACTAACAAATTTCCCCGTCACACCAAACATGCTCGTCCTTTCAGCCATGGGGCTTATAATGTGACGGTCAATCCCACTATTCGTTGGTAAAAGAGTAGCCCCAGAGATGGCGTTGGGTGATGATGACTAGCTGCCTTCCCTCTGGTCTTTCACTGCTAAATTAGGGATCGCTAGCTTTGCTCGAACTTCAAAACAAACCAATACTAACAAATTAATGATCTGATGTATTTTTTTTGTAGAGTTAATAAAAGGAGTCTTAGTTTAGTCTCTAATTGTCCATGTTCGTAATTCGGGGAGTGTTTAATATATCATTATTTCCCCGAAAGGGGGCCGAAGTCTGCCCGGAGGAGTCACCTATTTCAACCACTCACACCACAGTAGTGTGTTGTCTGTCAGTCAATTGGTGGACACTATAATGACGTCAGTAAAACGTGCGCATGCCATGAATCACGAGAAGAATTATGCACTCTATAGGCTACAACACAGTGTGTCATACGAACTTCAAAAGGAGGAAATTAAGAAACAGAACATTTTCGGGTGCAATGTGGAAGTACATACAGTATTCAAGTGCTAACACGTATGCCAAACGATAGTCTCGCGATCTGAACAAATTCCAATACTGTAGTCGAGCCAGTAAACATACAAACCTCAAAACATACGCTCTGTGTAAACGTCGAGGCTGTTGCACTTGCTTAAAATGTTAAGCGGAATGTGTTAATATTTACAGAAAAGAAACGTAAAGAACCCAACTGATTAAAGCCTGAAACGGGATTTAATTGCACTTTCTGAACATAATCGTCTACCCTAGGACAATCTTAAGAATTGCGGACAAGGGGAGTAAATTACTTTTTATGCGTGAGGGAGGAGGGCATCTTTTGTAGTTACGCCAGTGAAATGAAGATTTGTTTGAAATGTTAATTATGTAACGAATGTGACCTTAAACACACGGACACACAATACTAAGGAAAATATCGTTTATATGAGGTATTGTGGGAAATAACTTGATATGCCGAGATGCATTTATACAGTTTCTTGTTGTTGTTTTTTTTGGGGGGGGGGGGTGCTCCTTGTTTTTGCGTAGGTGTCAGATGGTGGATTATGAGAGGTCTTGTAAAACTGGTTAGAGTTTTCAATCACGTCAGTAGATATGGACTTTAAACAACGTATCGACCATGAAATAAACATTTTCTTATATACCAAACCATAAACTTTTTCGAAACGATCTTACGAAGAGCACGTGATCCGATAAGTATACGAAAAATACTTATACATACCGTGTAATAAACTAAAATTAAAATGTTTGATAACTGCAGGACGCACTGTTTGGCAAAGAAAGACTAGGAATGAAGCGAAATCTGCGCAGTGGATGTTGATATTTATATATTCACTATAGGTGTTATTAATATTTGATATCAAAAGTGTATCTTTGTGGCTATTCAAACAATGATATTGCATGTGCAATAAATTTCAGCTTGTTCATCGCATGCTTGTGTATGATGATAATTCATGTTATCTTTTAGTTTTTCATGGCATTAATAGCGGTTCAAAATAAGTCTGTCTTGAGGTAAAAACTTTAAAAATAAGTGATTTTGAAGTTATTGTAAATCCCTTTGATAACTTGCATAACTGCATTCTATTGAATTTAGGCCTAATATTTAACGGGCTTATATTGAAGTAATTGGATTGTAGTTCAGTATATATTCGTAAGTTGAAGAGTTATCAGTGTTACAAGATATACCAATAAAAAATAACGATTGCACGTACATCCATCAAGGAGGAACGACGCTATCAAAGGTCAAACTCATGAAGCAAGTTATGTCAAAAGTTAGTCAAGATGAAAACGTGACTGTTCATGCATTCAAACCACTAGTTAAGTAACAGTTGTATGAGCAGTAATTCTACTTTTGCTCTTTTTAATCAGTAAAACCAACAACAACAACAATATATATGTATATATATATACACACACACACATATATATATACAGCTGTTGAAAAAGACTATTTGTATGTATATATTTGTTAATAAATCTTGCGATATATTATTATTTTTTTGGTACAGTATGTCTCAAATAGTTGCTTATCAGACTAACCAATTGCCATAAACCATGCAAACAAATATTTATAAACTGAACTCTCACTGATCTTGACTGTTGTTAACCTAATTCTTCTATTTAAATAATGTGTATATTAATTAAAACAAGTTTGCATATAATTGGTTAGGGTTCCATACCCACACCCAGTTTATGAGCTACCCATTGTAAGTGTAGCATGGTGGAGAAGGAATGATGTAAAACATAATGAAAAGTATGAAGCCAGTCCTAACATTTTGTTTCGATTGTTTAAGATTTTCTCAAAAATCTTAAGTTATGAAGGAACAGTAAAATATTCAGATTATAGTTTCCTGTGTCCAATTAAAATGTTTTTTGTTAGGTTCTTTCTTGACAAAGTTAAAAAACAGTGATTCATATGACTATTGTTTTAATCTTTTACTGGTGTTCAATATAATTTTACCTTTTCAAGGAACCATTACATTATTTTATTTTTCTTCTCTCCTGTTATGGAATTTTATCACAATTTTTTTTCAGATAACATTATCAACCAAATTCTGAGAATGATACACTAATGATATTGTGACCTTTCTTTTCTTTACAGAAGGTGAAAACATTTGACCTTAGAGATGCTGACTTAATACTGAAAGGTAAGCTGATTGAAATATCTTTGTATATTGTAATAAGTTATAGGTATATATATATATATATCTTAGAGATTTTTTCACAGAAATATTATTTTTATAAATTTAATATGAAATTGTATGTACAGCAACTCGCTTGTAGACATAAATTTCTTTCATTTCTTGTTTTTGTGTTTAATTTTATTAACACATTTTCTAATCCTTATGTTTGATATTGTAAGTGTAGTGTACTTGTATTCCTTTTAAGATTTTCATATTTTTTAACTAGCCTAATTATAATGTGGTTTAATAGCATTTATAATCATTCATAATGTGTGCTTGTTTGGTCAATTAATTTTATCATAGTTTCAGTAATGTTTTTCAGTTGTTTGAATGGCATACCATCATTTTTGGTATCTTTGAGTTACATGTTTAAGTTTCATTCTCATGCATCAATTTTTTTATAAACCCCAAAAAAGTATTTTCTACAGCAGCAAAAAGGAATTTTTATAATATTACTGTTTTAGGTGCTAGCCTACTCAATTTAACGAATAGGTAAATAAATAATACAGTCATATGCCAAGACATACAAAACAATATTTTCTTGGGTATTATTTTACTTGTAATAAAAAGTTGTTAGAGATCACTTTCTATATGTTATTTTGTCCATTTAAACTGTCCTGATAATGTTGATTTTAATGATTATGAGCTTTAATTTGCTTCACAGATTTGTGGTTTTCTCTAAACAATGATCATTTTCTCCATTTAATTACGATTATGAAAAATTATATATTTAGAACACAGTTGTCTAGAAGAGTCTGTTTAACAGATGAGTATCTTCAGTTGAAATCTTATCTCTTTATACTTGGCTTCTAAGGGGAAAAACTGACTTCTAAACACTGTGAAACTTTGGAAGAAGTGTTTAAAAGAGTCCAGTTTCAAACAGTAGATCTTGAAGCCTGTGGATTGGATGATGAGGTATGTTTATAGGGATTTGTTTTGAAACATATCAGTCAGTTGTCACTAGCATTCAAGTATTTTTCTCAGAGACTCTGGTGTATCCTGAGCATTCAAAATATGTTTAGAAGTACACTAATTTATTTCTCTGTTTACACATACACACTCAACTTGATGCAGAACTTGTTCTTGATATCTCAAAAAACAAAGTGTTGGTACTGTTAGAGAGGAACCCTCATTAAAAAAATTTTCTAATTGTAGCATTTTCAAATTGCTGCCCAACATATTCAAATTGCTCCCCTGTGGGGCATGCGCCCCACGTTCAGAATCACTGATCTACCATATTACAGTTTCTATAATAACTCAGCCTATAAGAATTTATGTGAAGCATCAAAAAGTGAAAATTGAGAGACTCTTACCTAAGACTGATTTCTACTTACCCTTTGGTTTAATAGTGCGCATTACAGTGATCGTGTATTAGGTCTGTTTAACCTTAACACAAAAACCTTGAAAGGGCTAGTTCATGTCATTTTGGTAACAAATTTCTCATGAGGATTAGTCTGTGAAATAATACCCAATTGTTGGATTATAAAGAACATGTTTAAGCTAACACAAGGTTGACTCACTTATTTTGGTGTGAAATTTTTCTAAATTTTACATTATATTATTATACCTTTTCAACACCAAATTTGTTTTTATATTAAGGGAGCATCAAATTTTTTGAGGTGTAGAGGTGAGACATGGAGCAAAAAAGATAAGGACCACTGTGGTAGATAGTAATCAAAGAAACTTCAGGCACTATATGTGGGTTAAAGAAAGTAAGACTTGTTAAATATTTAAAAAAATTGTATGTGTATAGTTTATGTACATACTGAAGGTGTGTGATTTTTAACTGCTACCTCTTGTGACCCCTTTGCAACTGTTAGGTACCTGCAAATGGAGTGTGGTTTGGAAAATGTTTTTAGTTTATGTGCATGAACTTACTTGATTTCTTTTATAACAGGGCTCAGCAGCAGTTTTTGATATGATAGAATATTATGAGTCAGCCTGTAACGTGAACATATCTTTCAACAAACGCATTGACTTAAGGGGGTGGCAGTCATGTTCACGCATGCTAAGGAAAGTGAGTGTTTTATTTTTGGGGATATAATTTTGTTGTATTTTGTCACATCTTCTTAAATAAAAATCAGTATTGTCAGTACAGGTTTTAGTTTGGATTACGATTGATTTAATAATTAATAACAGTATGAATTAAATGATACCAAATGTGTGTTGGAAGCTAATGTTAATGATCTTTCAGTTGAAAGTTTTTAGCAGTCATTTGGATTTTTTAATATTATTTGTCTCTTAGTAAATGATTCTTTGATGATGTAAAGTTTTAATTTGTTTAGAACTTGTATATGAAACCTGCACTACACTGTATATATTGTCCTCAGATCCTTTTGTTAGTATTAAACACACACTATAATATCTTATCAGGCACGTCGTGCTAATATTAAGAGTAAAAAACACAAAATCAGACTTTTTTGGCTCAGTGAAAGATAACATTTTTACTATTAATAAAAATGTTACCTTTAATTGTGCCAAAAAATGTCTGATTTTGTGATTTTTGCTCTTAACATACACAGTACTTACTATATTTCATAATCTTTGCTTACTTGATTGTGTTTTTGTTGAGTTACATTTGTTCACAACACTACATAGACAAATGATGCCTTATTTATCAGGTTCTTTTACTGTTCTTATATTATTTTGCATAGCTGTAGTGTACTCCATCTTTCAACCTCTTTATGTTGAGTTCATGTTAAAAATTATTTGTGTAGTGTAATCCTGAAATATATTTACTTTTGTTTTTAGATATCTATTTTCAATTCACAACATATGTTTTGTTTAATATATTTCTGAGTTATGATTATTCCTGTCTTTCAACCTCATTATATTCAATGTGTGATAAAAACTGTTTGTTTGGTATAATTCTGAGTGATATTTGTTTTCTCATGTTCAGTATATAGTGCACAATTTTTAATTATATAATGTCAAAGTTATAATTTTCTTTTGAATATTTCAGACTCCTTGTATCCAATACTTAGATGCACGCAACACAGGTCTGAATGACCAGAGTTTGCTTATACTTGGTCGTGCCCTCCGACTTGGCTCTGGTTTGATTACACTTCATTTAGAAAATTCTGGACTTAATGGAAGGTCACTGGTTATCCTGAGTAAGTACCATCAGCTGTAGGTCACTTTTTGTTGTTGTTTAAGTAAAAGCAGTATATTATTTTAAAACTAGACTATAATTGTGAGAAAGCAGACTTATAACGATGTGAGGTAAGAAAAGTTAGAACACATAAATTGAAATGTCAAAGATCATACTGCTTAAAAGAAAAGAATGTTTAACCATAATAACCAGTCAAATTGATTTAGTACATAACACTACATAGATGTTGATCGTAATGTTACCGAGTACTGCTGAATACTGTTTGTGGTAAAGTTCTAGTCAGTTAGTTGTAATCAAAGTTTACATTCAATATTTTAGCAAGAAACTATTGTGATAAACAGTAGTTTTATTTTATGATTTCATTTAAAAGCAGTGCTCAAATTGAAGGTGAATGCCTGTACTGTTGTTAAAAATAAATATCAGTTTCCTTTCTCTTGTTAACGAAATCGTGCATAGGAGAACATTTCAAAAGTGAATCTTCACTGACTGTCGCTATGTGTCACAGGTCAAAGGCCATGTCATCGTGTTTGTTGACTTGCATTCAAAATTTTATTGAAGTACTATTTTATGAACTTATGTCAATAAGTTTGGTATCAAACTGTAAATTATAATTCAAATTTTAGTATTATACATTATTCAATTTCTTAATTTAAAAGTAAATATTAAAAAATCTAGTTAAACATCAATTTTTGTGTGTCACGTGGTATGTTGAATGCAGCATTGGTTCAAATTAGATGTTTGTGATGTCAAAATACAAAGTCTATAGTTTCTTACAAATTAGGAACTCAAATTACCGATATTATCAAGCTAGAATATAAATTAAGAACCTCCTATCTTTTCTGTTTGCTGAGATATCACTCATGTACTGAATCAAATGCAGTGGCCCTGCTCACCTCTTTCCGTTTTTGGATTTTTTGGTTATTCAAAAATTATTTCCTTTCATATCCTTCACGTGCGCAATATTAAAAGGCTTAGTAACCTACATCAAGCAGCAACCGATTACAAAGGTCATAACTAGAAGAGATCATTGTCTGCTTTACTTTTTTATTTACTGTTCTATGTTTTAAGAAAAATAAGATTAAGAACTTATTTATAAATAGTAATAATGTATATATATATATATATAATGTATTATAACAGAAACATGACTATTTTTTAGTCCACAAATTGACAGACCTCATTTAGTTAGGAGGATTTAGAGATTACATAAATAATATTTAAGATTTTTGGGATGAAGAATAGTTTTTTAATCATGACATGAAAATCACTTCACACTCAGACTAGTAATCAAACACTCAATATTTTCACAAACAAATCTTTAGTAAAAATACTTCATGAAAAAATCTGATTTTTTTG